AGAATTCCCTACGTCAAGTAAGTAAAACTACCTTTTTTATTACTAATTTTTTAAAATGTTAATTTTTTGACATTTTGATATAGTATACGTAGTTTGTTTGTGTGTTTACCTGTTTTATAACTCTTTCTCATAGAAATTTGTTGTATAAATGTATGATTTGTAAATATTATGGTTTTTTAAGATTTTAAAAAATTATATTTGTTTGTAATTTAATGAAATTAATTTTAATTTTGAAACTAAGATGTTTTCTAATGAAATAAATAATGTCTTATTTAATAGGTATGTTTTATATTTTATCAATTTTATTGTTAAGTTGAAAATTTCAATATATATGGCGAGATTTATTTTGTAGAAAATTGATAATCATTTAAAGGTGCTATTAAAATAAATTAAATAAATTTGAGTTAAACCAATATTAGCTAATTTATGTAGTTCATACTAGATAAGTTATTCATGCATTGTCGTGGGCTACTTTTAGAAACGCGTGCTACTTTTAATTGTAAGACAATTAAAAAAAAAAGAGCTTTTTAAGCATGCAATTAAGAACAGATAACATTAAAAGGTATATGATTTGACTTTTAAACAACAAATAAATAACATATAAAGAACTTGTTTAAATTGACTTGAATTTCATATAAGAATCAAATTATAAAATGTAAAAATATATTAATATAACATAAGTATTATTTGACCAACTCAAAAAAAAAAGTGGCATGATTAATAATAAGATTATGGAAGCCTAACTTTTAGGTGAGAAGTGAAGTACGAGCAACTATTGGTCATTAAAGAGTAACAAATGCTTGTCAACTTTTTGTTGCTACAAGAACTTGAATAACTTAATTAAGTATCTGAAAAAATATTTTATGTATTCATCTATATATCTAGACCTAATATATAAAATGAGCATGGTATATACCTCAAACACCAGCCTTAAAAGATAAATTCCCTCTCAAGAAAAAACAACCTAAGAGTACTTAAAGCCTTTAAACTTTTTTGAGTAAACATTGGCTAAATAGTTTTCTCCACAAGATTCAGCATATACATATATATAGCGAAAGAACTTATAGATATAAATCGAAAAACTTATGCACACATCTAATTAAACAATCTAATAACCATTGTATAAAGTAATGAAAAAAATACATCAACAAGAAACAAAAATGAAATTGAGAAAATCAAGAGACAAATAAAGATCAAGATATCTAATATTTCAACATTGGTAATTTACATGGTTATATTTAATGAATTCCTCTATCAAAAAAAATTTGTAATAGAAAAACATATAAAATTTATAATAAAAACCAACACACACAAAAACTGCCCTAAAATCTAAAATCCATCCAAAATAAAAATTCTTCTCAAGCTTAGAATTCTTGCTTTAGGTGTTTTCAAAGTAATTAAAAAAATCTAACATAACCCCCTTTATCTTGGAACCTTTTGACACAAAAATCAATTGTTTTGGTGCCCGGAATCTTCCTTAATTGCCATTTTCTCTTTCTAGGCTAGAATTCAGCGACTCCCTCTCTTTCCTTCCAACATAAAAGGATTGGAAAAAAAAAATAAAGTTAGGTACCAAAATGCATTGTCTTGAAATTCAAGGAATTGATCACCTAATATCTAAAAAATATAGAGGACTAAAATGAATGTTACAATAAAACTTGCAACCCACCCCTCATGTTACCTGAGAGTTTTACTTTAGTCCTTTAGCTTTTAATTCAATCCTCCCTCCTAAAAAAATATGTAATTATAGGCTAATTTGGATTCAAATAGGTTAAATCACACAAAAGAAAAGTTCAAAGACCAAAATGAAAATTATCAAAAAAATACATTGTTTTAATCCACAATGAATTACGAGAGAATGTACATTATTTTTATGACAGTAAAAGACTAATGCATTTTAGTTTTTGTTATAATAAATAATTAATTCATGTTGTCTTCAGTATTCTATATGTGTTTGGTATAAGTAATAAATAATTGTTTTTGGATGTATTGAATTTTACTTGAAAGATTGCACATGATAAATTATTGTAATAGAGTTAAGGTTTTTATTAATTATGTATTATGTAATATGAGAAATATTAGTAGAGATGATATTAGATATCATATAAGAGGTATCAAAATAAAAAAAAATTATGTATTTTTTAACACAAAGACTTTATGTTATTATGCACCAGGATTTATTAATACTTTGTAAACAACTTTTCATTAGTTCAATCCTAAAGGTCTTAAAAAACAAGTTTTGGACCTAAACGCAAGGCATGAGACCTTGCACAAGCAATGCACCTCAACTCAAATGCTAGGCATGCAACCTAGTGTCCTTGGATATAGAAAACACACTTAAACATAAGCGCTAAACAACACACCTAACACTCGTGAGTTCAAGTACCTCACTTGCACCAACCATGAGATGCATACCTAACTCTACCTAGACATTGCCTTGTGGCCTAAACCCAGCACTTAGACCCCTAAGATTTTTTACTAACCCAAGTTTTTTAGCCTAGATCCTACTTTATTTACACATCTAGGTATCTTTCATGGCTTGCTATATTTTAATCTTATTAATACATATATAAGGGTATTTATCCCTCATTAATTTTTATGTAAAAGATATTTATCTTTCATTAATGTTATAAATATGAAATGATTTTCTAACCCCCTTCCTCAAGCATAAGGATAAGGTTTAAGGAGTATAAATACTTCTTGGACAACGTATATAAAAGGTTTATAATTTTCATTATCAGCATGGACATATTATTTTCTTATGTGACACTTATTTTCATACCAAAACAAAATAAAAAAAATGTTATTCTTAGAATTTAATATTATTTTTATATTTATTATACTCTTTATATAAAGATATTAACTTAAATATTTAACTATTTCCAAATCCTTGGAATGTTTTGCAAGTATTAAGATTCTTAGATCAAGTTATCACCTTCCTTTTCTATAGAGAATGGATCTAACAGAATAAACATTTTATTTAGTCCATTATTTAACCACTAGAAATCCTTATTCCTAAACCCTTTGAGTTTTGAAACATCGCAAATACATAGAAAGTTATTATGGTTTGGCTTCATTTAATAACTTGCTAAGTTAGTATAGCAGTTTATTCAAAAATCAAATGAATTACTATAACTCACACTTAGATATATCTAATCTACAAAATTCAAATTACTATTCTAATTTCTGGATAGGTTGTAGGGCAAAATTAACTAGTTGATGTAGTAATTTTTTAACCTACTCAATCCCTACTGATGTTGTTTGGATACTCATTACCAAAATTAATTCTTAAAAAAACTTATTATATAAGTTACCAAGTTGTGTGTTCTCAAATTGTCAATATCAATTCAACGTATCGTGTGTCACTAATTGTGATTAAAGTTTCAAAAATAATGTCACAATTAAGTGTTTTTATTTTACTTTCTGCACATTACATTACAATTATATAATATATCAAAGGATTTAAGAAAAGGAACGATGTGTTCTGTATTTTTTTCTCCCTACCAATCAAGAATTCATATGAATAAACCATCTAGGTGGTGGCCAAGTGGTAAAGACTTGGGACTAAGGGGTTTGCTCCCTCTGTGGTCTCAGGTTCGAGTCCTTGGTTGCTCATATGATGGCCACTGGAGGCTTACATGGTCGTTAACTTCAGGGCCCGTGGGATTAGTCGTGGTGCGCGCAAGCTGGCCCGGATACCCACGTTAATCTAAAAAAAAAAGAATTCATATGAATAGTGATTTTTTTCCCCCATGTTATGACAGCTTTTTTCTTTGTAATTTCATTCTTTAAAGTTGTATTAATGATTTTATGTGCTACAGTTTACTTTACTGTGCTCGCTCTAGCATATTCAAAGTATCAAGAAATATTCTAACCATGAATTAAAGAGTGATTTTGTGCAATAAAAATTAGATTGTTGTTGAATATAAAATTAAAAAAACAGAGATCAAATTGAAAACAAAGAGAAAAAGTCGTTGAGAAATGTTTAGCAAAGAGAAAGTGTCTAGATAACTATATTTTGATAATGTAAAATATCAATTTTGATGTTAATAAATTTATCGTTTTAAGGTGAGTTGATGACATTACCTTTTAATAATGTCTAAAACAGTAGGCATGACAATAATTTTTTTTCTTGTAGTTTTTTTTTTTAGTGATTAAAAGATGTGTTTAAGATTGAAAGAGGGTTTATAAAGGTGAAAACAAGTTGTAAAATGAATTTTAGAGTCTACAAATTCGGACCATATATGGTTTTTCAATCACTGAAGAATGATAAATCTCTACCACAACAGACGACATGTTATTCATTTAAAACATAATTGGAGTAGGCATGCAAGCTTAATTTTTTTATTTAATTTTTTATTTAAATTTTAATTAATATTCTCCTTTTTTATTTTTGAATTATTTTTTTCACTTTTTTTAAAAAATAGTTAATCTTTTTAATTATTTTTTTATTTCATAATGCTTCATAATGATTATTGTAATTTGTCTTTAAATTTTTTTCCTCTTATATTTTATAAAAATAAATTGTTGAATGAAGCATAAATGATTATCATTTGTTCTTAGCAATCATATTTAACATCTAAGATAAAATAAATAAAAACATATAAAAGAAAAGGAAAAACTGGGATGAAATATTCGGAAGTGCATTTTTTTCATCTATCAATATATAAATAAATTTATTTTATTAAATGTAAACAATATTTTCTTGTTTTTCAATTAAAAATAAATCATAATACTAAAAAAAAATCTTAACACCAATAATTTAAATTAACTTAGAATTTTTCTTGCAATGTAAAGTACGTTTAGAAATATGACAGCGATGATGATTTAAAATATTTTTTATTTAAAAATATATTTAAATAATTTTTTTAAATTTTTAAAAAGTTATTTTTAACATTAATCCATTAAAATAATTAAAAAAAAAATCTAAAAAAACACAACTTAAACCTCGATACTAAACAAGAAAGCGCGTATTATAAGACTATTACAGTTCAAGTGAATGAGCACGGAAACAGCAATTTGCATTTAAAATCGCATCACTGTTTCTTCTTCTTCTTGTTGTTTTCACACTATCAAGCATAGCAGCTGTATGCACAAATTGTACAGAAATATAGAGCTGTGAAAGCATATACTGCCAACGATAGCTTCTCACAGAACAATTAAATTAAGCCTATTCTTCCTTTGAGACTGAAACTATAAGAAAGAAACAGAGAGGAATAACCACAAAGGCCGCAACCTTTAGCAAGTCCTCACTCTCCTTTGAGATCACTCCAATCCTTGACCAATCTCCACTGTACCTGAATTTGAAACGGCACTACATCGGGGAGGTAGACATGGCTTCCCTAACTAATCAAACTTCTGTAAATTAAGAAAAAAAAAGCACCAAGAGTGAAGAAAACTTACCCAGCATCAATGAATCCAAGTCCGAAAACAGCAGCAGCAGACTGTGACAGAATATTTTTAGGAACTCTCAGAGGAAAAACAGGCTGTTCCTGGGGTCTTGAGTTCTCAGACGGTTCCTTTCTTTGAGCCAATGCGGTGGCAAAACGTTTTCTGCCATTCTTCTTCAGGCGCCCGTGATGAGAAAGTTTGAGGTTGATCAAGAAAAAGCTCCTCTTTATGGCCACCATTTCCCCGGCTATCACATTTAACGTGTCTCAGATGTCCCTGCCTCTCATGTATTTACACGAGTAGACTATCTTATCCTAGTATCTGAACAATCCAAGCCACAAACAAAAGTTTATATTTTTTTATTAACTTAGTCCTCATAATTTAATAATACCAATTCATTAGTCCTCATAAGTTCAAAATTATATTCTTATTTCCTACTATTTAAATCCTTTTCTTTTCAATTGCAAATCCTTTTTTGCCAAAAAAAAAATGAATTTATTTATTTCCAAAAAATTTATTCAAATAAAGCATCTTCAAAATAAAAAACATATTATTCACAATTAACTAATCAATTTGTTTTGATAAACAATACAAGATTAAGTTATAATTAATTATTTGGCTCGCTGAAAATTATATTTTTTTTTAATAAAAAAATAAACATGCAAGATTTGTTGACACTTTATTTATATAAAAAATATATGTATAAATCTAAAAACTTATGTATATATATAATTAAATAAATTGAGAATTATTTGTGTTAATATATATAAAAAATAATTAATAATAACAAAACATATATTTGAAAAAGTTAAAGAGCGAATGTAGATTGAGATATTTGATCTCATAATACGGGTCATCTATTTGATTGTATTAAATAAATATGTTTATTAAAATTATTTTTTTATTCAATCAAATGATAGTATAATTAGACACACATAAAATTGATTGAATAAAATTAAAAAAAAATAATATTTTGTAAAATTGTACCTAATAGAAATACTTTTCAAAAAAAATATTTTTTTAAAATAAATTTTAATTATATAAAACATAAAAAAATCAAAGCTGAATTAGAATTATCTTTTTCAAAAATTAAATATATATATATATAATAATTTAAAAAACCACTATTTAAAAAAGGCTAAATATAAAAAATAAGAATCATAGAGAAATGATATTAATTTAAATATAAATTAAAAATTATTTTTTAAAAAGCTTGATTTTTTTTAAAAATAAAAAAAAAGGTTAGAGATGGCCTCCTCACATAACTTATTTTTTAAAATGAAATTAGAGCTGATAATATGTTATCTACCCTTGTTATATTTTGAAAAAAAAAAATTGCAACATGATGTTTGGTTTACCTAAAATTCAAGCTATTATAACAGTAAAAAAAAATAAGATCAATTTTCATAATCTAAAAACTCATTTCAACTAAATTTTTTACCTAAAATATTTAAAATAAAACTTAAACATCTTAACAAACTTATAAATAGCCTAAAAAACTATATAAAAACCTAAAATTAACTCGAAATAAAAAAAATTTTGAGCTTAAATCTGGTTTTTCAAGGAATTTCAAAGTAAAAAAATATCTAACTGAAACTCCATTCACTAAATAATACATGTGAATACAAATATCAGTTATTTTGATGGTCGAAATTGATTTCAATGTTGATTTTTTTTTTCTAATTTTAGAATCTAGCCATCTCTTTTTTCTTTTCATGCTACAAATTAAAAAAAAAAACTTTTATACCAATTTAAATTGCAAAAATATTAAAGAACCTAATAAATATAATATGTAAAGTTTGAGGATTAAAATAATTTTTTTGTGAGAGTTTTAAAACCATCATTTATTTATGCTATTTTTATTTTGATCTTCTTATTTCAATTTTGTTTTTAGTAAACAAATTTGATTCAATTTTTTTTTTAATTTGGCCCAAAAAGAAAGTAATTGTGCAAAAACTAAGTTTGAGGACTACATTAAAAAAAAAAACAATATATGTGCACAATGTTTAAGCCTTAAAATTTAGAGTTTTGTATAATAATGTATTATAATAATATAATAATAATAATTATATATGAAAAAAATTTACGTAATTAACTTAAAGAGTTGATTGTATGACCAGAGAAGCGAAAAACCCTCCCAGACCACAAACACTTCACTCTGCACTGTATTTTTTTGAATTGAAACACAAAAACCCTAAGAATGGCAAGAACAAACCTTACAGAACCCCCCAAAATCCACAGAATCCCACAACCCAAATTCATTGACGCAATTCGCTGGCTCCCTTCTCCTTCCCCTTTTCGAAAATCCTTCATTTCCTCCCTCTTTGATTCGGATTTCCACACTCCTTCCCTCGAAATCCACTCTCTAGACCCTTCTAAAACCCTAACCACTCCACTCTTTTCCTGGACCCCACCTTCCCGTATTTCCTCTCTCAAATCAACTCCTTCCCTCTTCGCTGCCTCCACTTTGCTGGGTTCTCTCCACATTTTCAAAACTCCAGAGGAAATGTCGGTTTTGGGGAATGATATGTCGGGTTTGGGTGGTGAAACGGCGGTTATGGAACCTGTAGTGTCGGTTGTGGGCAGGGAGTTTCATGTGGGGTCCATTGGGGGTGTGGATTTGATGGAAGGAGGAAGTGAGTGTGTTAGTGTTGGAGAAGATGGGAGGGTTAATTTGGTTGTTGAGAAGGGAGGTTTTAGGAGGGTTTTTGATGGGAATGGATTGGTTTCATATTCGGCAGTTAAATGGGCTTCCCCGTCTGAGTTTGTGACTGGTGGATGTGGGTTTGGACTTCAGTGGTGGGACCTTAGACAGCCTGGTGCTGCCGTAGCTCAGTTTAAGGGTAGCTGGTGAGTTCTTTTGCGACCTTTTTTCAACAGCACTTCTGAGATCGATTTGAATTTGGTTGTCCTTTGACATAAAACTGTTGATATTCATAGTGTTTTTCTCTTGTTGCTTGTGTCAAATATAATCGTGGCCGATTAGTTGGATAATTACTCTTCGAATTTTATTGTAAGAAATGAAATAGGTTGTGATTATGTTTGTGTGGTAAACTTTCATCAGTTTTGTAGGATGCCTATACTGAAATTGGGAGAATTGTTTTTAGGATTAGGATTAGGATTAGGATTAGGATTTTAAAGGTATGAAGAAAATGCCTTGTTATAGTCATGCTTATCTAGACTTGATGATATATATGTCTTATAATGTTGGATGAGTACGACTGACTCTTGAATAAATTGAAAGTTCAAAGAATAGAAGTCACAAGAGAAGTTAATAGTAGTATGGTATTTCACTGATTGATGAAAATTTGATCTGAATAAAACTCTTCTGAGTCGAGTAAAAGCTATCAAATTGCTGAGTGAACCTAGTAGACATTATGGATTGCTTTGATGCAGTTAATGCAAATGCACTGGAAACTTGTATATATGTGTTCCTGCAAGCACTGTAAAAACACGATTGAAAACAAACTTTGAGGGACTGCATGTGATGATTAGCTTCCACTTTGGCCAGGATGAAATTGCTTGTGGTTTATTAATGCAGTTTGGTAGCATGTGAAACTTCTAGAATGGGCTTCATTTGTATTAAAAGTTCTATTTAGTTGTTTAAAGTATATATTGTAATTCAGAAGGGGTTTTTTAGTTGCATGCAAATGGTTGGCATAAATGTAGGCATAACATTAGTTCTGTGTATTAGCAAATACATCTACACTCAAATGGTTGGTTGACCTTGTTCTTTTTAGTTACAATTAAGCAACATAGCAAATTTCCCATATCATTATGGCCGGCAAGAAGTGTACTGATTTGCTGTCAAGCTTATGCTGTAGGGATCATGGCACAACCTCTGGGATCATTCATTCCATTGATATCCATCCATCCCGTAAGCACACATGTCTGGTGAGATAGCTGCTCAGCCCTTATTATCATCACTCTTGTATTGCATGAAGAACCCTGTCATGTTCCTTGTTAATAGATATGGATGTAGCTTGTTAGCTGAATTTATTTTCTTCCGTATTTTGCTTTTGAATGGTTGAATCTTACAATTTGGATACTTGTTTTTATTTTATTTTTTCTGTGTTGATAATGCTATTCAGTCGCACCCTCCCTTCCTGATCACTGTGGATTGGGATGCTCTTGCATTTCTGTGGCAGATTGGTCATGAACACTTACCTAGATTTTTTTGTCATTTGATAAATATGCTTCTTTAAGACAGCTTATCTTTCCTAAAGCCAAAGTTAGATCCTGGATAATTTCTAGTTCATGTTACTAAGAGAGGAATTAGTGCTTAGTGAAACTCCAATCAGGCCTTGTAACCAAATTAAGGAATTCTTTATGTTATTGCATGAGAACAAGTATTAGCTCATGTTGTTTGTTTAGCCAATCATAACAAGTGAATATTTACTTGCTTGAAAACCTTCTTGCGTTAATTTTTATTGTTATGTGAGGAAATCACTTGTTGCTTTTTAGTTTTTAGTATCATTCTTGTGCTTGTATGAAAACTGAATTCCCTTTCCTGTCATAGGCAGGAGGTTCATCAGGTACTGTATTTGCCTGGGATTTGAGAAGGCAACAAGAACCGATTATTCTTTCTTCAATTGGTTCTAGTGACACTATGACCCAACCATTATCTGAAAGCGAGGTCTGGGAAGTTCAATATGACCACTACACCAAGTCTTTGAATAGTAACATTTCATCATCGCGGATCTTACCTGCTATGATCTGCTCTGAAGATGGGATCCTTGCTGTCATTGAACAAGGTATGTGGTTCTCACTGTAACTTCTGTTTGTCACGTGCTCTGTATTAGGCTATTACTGTCACTACTGGCAGGCATGTGCTGGCTTGACTATTATGCACGAAACCCACGTCATTTGCTGACTGATTGGTGGTATGATATTGACATACCAGAATATATTTTGGAGCTCAAACTAGCACTGATTTCATTTGACATGTTATGCTGTGTAGGTGAGGAACCCACTGAGCTCTTGGCTGAACCCTGTGCCATCAACAGCTTTGACATTGATCGCCAAAACCCCTCGGTATGTAGGACCTGTGTATGAGTGGTCCAAGTACTTGGAAATCTATCATGTTTTTGATCCATTTTCTGCTGTGCAGGATGTAATATGTAGTTTGGAGTGGGAATCCATTGTCATTTTGTCAAGGCCGTAACACGGAGAATTTAAGCCCAAGTTGAAATCTTGTTATATAACTTCTTCGATGAATTTTGTGCTCCATCCTGGAGTTAATGGAGGAGTAGTCCCTGCGGTGGGATGAGCGGAGCAAGTTTTTGTTGCAATTTGTCAA